TTTGATGGCAGAGTAGTAGTGTCATTGTCTCTGAGCCAGAAGACCGAAGTTCAAGTCCCACCTGCTCAAGAACAAATTGATTAGAAAATATTTCCCCAGAATGAGACCTGACTTGTTGAGCCGTTAAGTTTATTTTCTTTTTCTTTACCATAGAGGTCAGTCACTGAACATATTCCTAAGAAGCTGCGAATCTACTTTTAGTAAAAAAAAAAAAAAACGAAAAAACGTTTACTCCACAAAAGAAAAAACACAAACTGTCGTACTATACAAGAGCTATCTGAAATGGCCTCATTACAGAAATCATAAATAGTCATTCTGTATTACGGAACTTGAGTATTGCTGAAGAAGGACACAAAAACTCCAACACTTTTTTTTTTCAGGCAATTTATGAAAGAAAGATTATACTCTCTTACCACAACAGTTACCTTACAGACACCCAAACCTCTGAAGGATCACTCTTGTTCCCATACTAAAGCTCCTTGTTCACCTGGCTGTAATTAGTTTCTTTTTTGCAACTATCTGCATTCACAGTTCTTTTTCTCTTTAGTTAACGTCCCCGAACTTAGTTTTAGCTTGCAAATTATTCAAAAATGTTTCTGGCTACTTTATCAGTTGACTTCCAAGTTGTATTCAAATTCATGATCGTAAAGTTCTTATGGTTGATGACCTGTAGCATTCATTTTGTGACTCATACAGTTTATTCCTCATAAGAACATAAGAACTAGGAGCAGGAGTAGGCCATCTGGCCCTTCGAGCCTGCCCCGTCATTTAATAAGATCACGGCTGATCTTTTTGAGACTCAGCTCCACTTACCCGCCCACTCACCATAACCCTTAATTCCTTTACTGTTCAAAAATTTATCTAGCCTTGCCTTAAAAACATTCAGTGAGGTAGCTTCAACCGCTTCACTGGGCAGGGAATTCCACAGATTCACAACCCTTTCAGTGAAGAAGTTCCTCCTGACCTCAGTCCTACATCTGCTTCCCTTTATTTTGAGGCGATGCCCTCTAGTCCTAGTTTCACCTGCTAGCAGAAACAACCTCCCTGCCTCCATCTTATCTATTCCCTTCATAATCTTGTATGTTTCTATAAGATCTCTCTCCTCGTTCTTTTGAATTCCAATGAGTATAATCCCAGTCTACTCAGTCTCACCTCATAATCCAACCCTCTCAACTCTGGAATGAACCAAGTGAATCTCCTCTGCACCCCCTCCAGTGCTAGTATATCTCTTCTCAAGTAAGGAGACCTAAACTGCACACAGTACTCCAGGTGTGGCCTCACCAGGACTCTATATAGCTGCAGCATAGCCTCCCTGTTTTTAAACTCCATCCCTCTAGCAATGGCAGACAAAATTCCATTTGCCTTTTTAATTACCTGCAATCCTACTTTTAGCGATTTCCAAGTCCCTCTGCACAGCAGCGTGCTGCAATTTTTTACCATTTAAAACATAGTCCATTTTGCTGTTATTCCTACCAACATGGATGACCTCAAACTTATCAACATTGTACTCCATCTGCCAGACCTTTGCCCACTCACTTAGACTATTTATATCCCTCTGCAGACTTTGTGTCTTCTGCACACTTTGCTCTACCACTCATCTTAGTGTCATCTGCACATTTTGACACACCACACGTAGTCCCCAACTCCAAATCATCTATGTAAATTCTAAACAATTGCGGTCCCAACGGTGATCCCTGAGGCACACCGCTAGCCACTGACCGCCAACCAGAAAAACACCCATTTACCCCTACTCTTTGCTTTCTACCAGTCAACCAATCCTCTATCCATGCCAATACATTAACTGTAATACCGTGCAACTTTATCTTATGTAGCAGCCTTTGGTGTGGCGCCTTGTCAAATGCCTTCTGGAAATACAGATACACCACATCCACAGGTTCTCCATTGTCCACCATGCAAGTAATAAGTGCTTGATACCATCTGCAAAAGAAGAGAGAAAATTGGAGAGAGGGAGAAGTTACGTCCTTAAGGCATGCAATTTATTTAACTTTTCTTGTACTGAAGATGTTGGCTGCTACAGTACTACATTACCTTGAGACTTGATTATTCTAATGCACTTTTCACAAGCTTCCAATTTTCCTAACTCCAGTATCTTGCGCTAAGTCTTATCACTCATTTGTCATCTCCCATCTTGCTGGTCTAAATTCATTCTTGGTCATGTAAAATTCAACTTCAGAATTCTCATCCTACTTTTCAAATTGCTATTTGACCTGGTATTTGCATATCACTGTAACGTCCTAAAACCTCTGACGATCTGTGCATCCCTTTTTTTTTTTTTAATTACTCCATTATTGGCAAGTGCCTTGAGCTTTTGAGGCCTTAAGCTTTAGAACTCCTTTCTTAAACTCCTCTGCATTGCTACCTCTCTTTATTCCTTTAAGACAGCCCATGAAAGAAACATCTTTGACCATACATCTTTTACTAAGCGTTTGCTAATTTTACCCATTGCCTTATGTGGTTTGGTGTCAAGTTTTATTTGATAATGCTGCTGTGAAGCATCTTGGATTGTTTTACTTCATCCGAGATCCTACATAAGCAAAGGTTGTTGTGCTGGGATACTTTCAAGAATGTCAGGTATCCCCAGCACCTTATTCCTAATCATTCTAAACAGACGTTGAGTTATCAGGGTATGTGATTGTTGGAGACAAAACAGACAGCCTATACCCATCTTCACCAGACATCAGCATGACGGCTAGAAGCATCAATGCTGAATGATTTGATCTAGTTTCGCGCTGCTACCACACCTCTGCTTTCCCACTCCCCACCCTTCTGATGGCACCATGTGTGGTGATTTATTCTCTGGCTTTAGTACATGATTGAGAATTTTGAAACATAAAGTTATGGAAATTGAGACTAGAAAGATTAAACTATATCACAAAATATATCAATATTTTATTTCAAGTTCTTTAAAATTTTAAATTAAGAGTTTCTGCATTTCTAAAAATGTGCTCATCAATTTTTTCCAATCATTTCCTTTAATATGCTCTTATTGCAATTTTCAAAAATGAATGGTTAACTTAATGGCAGTTAGATTTAATGTGCCATCGAGAATGGATTAAAGATTACGTCCTGGTGCAGGTTTTCTACTTTGCATTGGCGAGTCAAGTGTTCAGATAATTCTTTAATTTTTTTAACTTGTATAACAACTTACGTAAAACTGAATTTTGGACTCTGTCCTCTTGGATTTTGGCTCAGTTTAAATAGCAGAAATTTTATATCACAATTTAAGATAGGGGTAATTACTTCATTGAACAGTAACACCTTTCGTTACATATAGCATCTTTTTCTAATGTAGTAAAATGTTTCAATGCACTTCACAGGAGCATTATCATATAAAATTTGACACCAGTCCACATGAGAAAATGCTAGGCAGATGATTAATTGCGTGGTTTAAGGGCATCCTAAAGGAGGAGAGAGAGAGAGATACACACAAATGGAGGCAAACTTGTATAAACTCCTACAAGGTTATCTTTTTGCTGTGACAGAGGAGGTTAAGGAGGAAAATCTAGACCATAGGAGCTTGGCAGCAAGTACACGATTGTTTTTGGTCAAGCAATCAAAACTGGGACCGAAAGAACTGCGGATGCTGTAAATCGGAACAAAAACAAAGTAGCTGGAAAAGCTCAGCAGGTCTGGCAGCATCTGTGATGAAGAAAACAGAGGTAACGTTTCGGGTCCAGTGACCCTTCCCACCCTGAGGAAGGGTCCCTGGACCCGAAACATTACCTGTGTCTTTTTTCCTCTCAGATGCTGCCAGACCTGCTGAGCTCTTCCAGCTACTTTGTTTCTGTTCCAATCAAAATTGGGATATTGGAGAGATGCCTGAGGACTGTATTTTGGGGTGAGGAAATTTAAAAACAAGGATGCAAATTTTAAAATTGACATTGTTCATCTCATGTAAGCATTGTGATGAGGTGCAGCTCATTGTTGACCATGTACATGAGGAATCATCTCAAATTCTGCTTCCTCACCGACAACATCACTTTTCACAAGTGGACACATGAGGTTGTCCGCTTTGGTAGTCAAAATAGGAAGGCCAATAACTTTCTGAATGGCAACGGATTGTGAAAAGGGGGATGCAATGAGACCTGGGTCCTTGTACGCCAGTCACCGAATGTAAATATACAGGTACAGCAGACGGTGAGGAAGGCAAGAAGGTAGGTTGCCTTCGTAGCAAGAGATTTCAAGTGTAGTGCCAGGGATGTCTTGTTGCAATTGTACAGGGTCTTGTTGAAACTGCACCTGAAGTATTATGTGGAATTTTAGCTTCCTTATCTGAGGAAGGATGGAGGGAGTGCAGTTAAGGTTTATACGACTGATTCCTGGGATGGCTGGACTGACGTGTGAAGAGAGACTGGATCGGTTAGAACTATATTCACTGGAGTTTAGAAGAATGCAGGAGGGATCTTTTATAAACATATAAAGTTCTAACAGGACGAGACAGGGTGAAACGCAGGAAGCATGTTCCCACTGACCAGGTGGTCCAGAACCAGGGGTCACAGCCTAAGGATATGAGATAGGCCACTTAGGACTGAGTAGTGAACCTGTGGAATTCTCTACGGCAGAAAGTTGAGGCCAATGCATTGAATGTTTTCAAAAATAAGTTGGATATAGTTCCTAGGGCAGAAGGGATCAAAGGATATGGGAGAAAGCATGAACAGGGTACTGAGTTGGATGATCAGATTGAAGGGCAGAGTGGGTTTGAAGGGCCAAATGGCCGCCTACTGCTATTTTCTGTATTTCTATGAAGGTTGCTTATTGAAGGCTTACAAAGCATTTATGGTATATAATAGAGATGGTAAATACTTAACACTGTGCAGATTACAAATCTATTTTGTTGATTACTATATCATCTAAATTTATAGCAACTGAATGTTTAAATCTTTAGTCATGGTTTAATGTTCTCATCGGATAATTCATCTGAATGTTCATTTAAATAAAATGTTTTTTTAACTGGTTTAAATGTTACATTTTTTCTATAGGAACCTCGAGGTCATATGACCTATCCATGTGGATAAAGCAAGGTGAAGCACCATGTCATCATGTGTCTCAAGCAGATCTGCTGCCGAGAGGCCTGCAAGCAGAAATGAGCAACGTGGTAACAACAAAGAGCAGTCAGATGTTAGTTGTAGTCTGTCATCCCTAACTATTGACTTAGGCATGGAGTCTTTTATCATTGTGACCGAGTACGACCAGAGTACCACAAGCAGTGAACAAGGACAAAATGGCGAAGGAATACTTGAAGATGAACCTATGCAAGAGAATAATGAATTGGACAAATCACCATGTGATAAGGCTTTGGGACGATTAGAGAGAGCTCAATCTGAAGATATTCGGCAACCTAGAATAAAACTAAGTATGTCCAATCGGAAACTATCTCTCCAAGAAAAGTCCAATTTAACTCAGTCACCTGGCAGCGGTTCAGCCATTAATGGACGTTATATATATCCTTCTTTGCCGTATTCTCCAATTACATCACCACATTCTTCTCCTCGGTTGCCTCGCCGTCCAACAGTGGAATCTCATAGAGTTTCTATTACCGATCTACAGGTAGGTATATCTTCCTTTATTGAATTAATGTATCAGAACGTCTCTTCTATACTGTATTTACATGACCTATTTATAGATTGTTTAGATTTATGAAAATAACATTCAAGTTAAATCTCATTATAAGTAAAAATAGTTCTCAATAAATACAATTATCATTAATATGATATATATTCTGAGCAAATCCAGGAGTTGCTTCAGTTAGGATGACAGTGCAGAAAATAGAACTTTGGTTGCTGTAAATGCTAATACTGTAATTAAAGTGGGAAGTAAAGAAATATTCACCATAGTGTTTAAAATATAAAGACATCAATCTGGGAGCACTGAAAAATTAAATTGGTATTTATAAGGACATAACAACACAAGAAATCGGGGCAGCACTGCTGCCTCACGGGGCCTGGGATCTGGGTTCGATTCTACCTTCGGGCGACTGTCTGTGTGGAGTTTGCACATTCTCCCTCCGGGTGCTCCGGTTTCCTCCCACAGTCCAAAGATGTGCAGGCTAGATGGATTGGCCATGCTAAATTACCCCATAGTGTTCAGGGATGTGTAGATTAGATGGATTATAGGGGTGGGTGGGTGGGATGCTTTGAGGGTCAGTGTGAACGTGTTGGGCCGAAGGGCCTGTTTCCAAACTGTAGGGATTCTGTGATGAAATAGACTATGTATATGTGCTGTTGAACCCACTAAACTATTTAATACAGTTGTGGTGGTTGATCGATTAGTCTTAACTCCATTTTCTTGCCTGTTTCCCCCCTCCTTTGATTCAGCAAGAGGAAAAAAATCTGTTCATCTCCGTCTTAAATTATTCAATAGCGGAACATTCACAACCCTTTCAGCTATAGAATTCCAAAGGTTCACAACTCTTTGAAGAATTTTCTCCTCATCTCAGTCCAAAATGATCGGCTCCTTATCTTGAAGCTGTGCTCCTGTGTTCTAGATTCTCCAGTCAGTAGAAATAGGGTAGATAAGGATACGCTATCGAAACATTTCATAATCTTAAATGTTTCAATGAGATCACTTCTCATTCTTCCTAACTCCAGGGACTAAAGGCCTAGCATACTGACTTTATCATAGAACAGCCTCTCATCACGGACCAAACCGATGAATCTTCACTGTACCAGCTCCAATGCATATATATCCTTCCTTGCATATAGAGTCATACAACATCGAAACAAGCCCTTTGTGAAGACCAAAACTAGTTTCTCCAGGTATGATTTCAACAAAGCCCTATTCGCTTGGAGCAAGACTTTCTTACTCTTCTGTCACATAATCCTCATCTCCCCACATAATAGTAGCAAACATGCTTTTTGCTTTCCTATTGTACCTGCAGATACAGACTGTGCTCCTTTGTATATTCACATCTCTTTGAACATGAACATTTACAAGTTCGAAACCTCTTTAAAAATGTACTTGTCTACTCTGCTACAAAGTAATAACCTCTGATTTTTTTCCACTTCATAATCCATCTGCCATATTTGAGCAAGCTCACTTACCCTGTCTGTTTCTCATTGTAGTGTCTTTGTGCTCTCTTCAGAGCTTGCAGACCTCTTAACTTTGCATTGCAAGCAAATTTTGGTGTATTATTTTGTCCATTCACCTAAGTCATGAATATAGAGTATAAATACTTGTGACATCCTTGTGGCACTCCACTAGTTACAGATTTCCAACTTCAAAATGCCCCCTTATCCCTATTCTCTGCTTACTTTGTTTTAACCAACTTTGTATCCATACTGCTATATAACCTCAATTACATGAGCCCATTTCTTGTGCATTAATTTTGTGACATTTTATTGAATTCTTTTTGAAATCCAAGTGTCACCACATCCCTTGTTCCTGTTTATCTATTCTACCAGTTAGTCCTCAGAAAGCTGAAGTAAATTTGTCAAATAGAGTTTTGCACTTGTAAAACAATGTTGACTGTCTGCTTGTGCTAGTATTCTCGAAGTGCAATGTTCAGATTTGAAGTCTAACCCATGTTTAAGAAGGAAGGGAGACAGAAGACAGGAAATTAGAGGCCAGTTAGCCTGACCTCGGTCATTGATAAGATTTTCATGTCTATTATTAAAATGGTAATTGCATGGTAAAATTGGACTGAGTCAGCATGGCTCCATCACGGACAGGTCATGCCTGACAAATCTGTTAGAATTCTTCAAGGAGGTGATGAGCAAGTTAGACAAGAGAGAGCCAGTGGACACGTTTTATTTGGGTTTCCAGAAGGCCTTTGACAAGGTGCTGTACAGAAGGCTGTTAAATAAGATAAGAGCCCATGGTGTTAATGGCAAGCTACTGGCATGGATAGAAAATTGGCTGACTGGCAGAAAGCAGAGAGTGGTGATAAAGGGGTCTTTTTCAGGATGGCAACTGCTAACTAGTGGAGTTCTGCAGGAGTCCATGTTGGCATTACAGTTATTCACGTTTATACATTAACAATTTGAACAAAGGAGCCAAAGGTATTGTTACTAAGTTTTCAGATGACACAAAGTTGGGTGGAGGCATAGGTCGTGTTGAGGAGGCAGTGAGGCTGCCAAAGGACTTGAACAGTCTAGGAGAGTGTGCAAAGAAGTGGCAGATAGAATACAATGTGGGAAAGTGAGAGATTATGCACTTTGATCAGAAGAATAGCAAGCGTAGATTATTTTCTAAATGGGAAAGGCTCAGAAATATGAAGCACAAAGGGACTTGGGAGTCCTAGTTCAGGGATCTCTTAAGGTTAACATGCAAGTTTAGCTGGCAATTAGGAATGCAGTTTAAATGTTAACATTCATTTCAAGAGGGCTAGAATACAAGAGCAGAGATGAACTGCAGAGTCTGTATAAGGCTGCGTTCAGACTGCAGAGCCCCGTATCTAAGGAAGGATGCTGGCCTTTGAGACAGATGACCCCAGGGATCTTCCCAAGACTGCAAGAAACTTGAAACTTGGCTGTGAACACAGCCCAGTCCAGCACGCAAACCAGCCTTCCTTCCATTGACTCCATCTACATTTCCCATTGCCTTGGGAAATCATAGAATCCACACAGTGCGGAAACAGGTCATTCGGCCCATCAAGTCCACACTTGCCCTTCAAAAAGCATCCCACCTAGACCCATCCCTCTACCTTATCCCTGTAACCCTGCTTTTCCTGTGGCTAATGCATCTAACCTACATATGCCTGAACAAAATGGGCAATTTAGGTGGATTGGCCATGCTAAATTTGGACTGTGGGAGGAAACTGCACTACCCGGTGGAAACCCACACTGACACGAGGAGAACTTGCAAACTCCACACAGACAGTTGTCTGAGTTTGGAATCGAACCTGGGTCCCTGGCACTGAGAGGCAGCTGTGCTAACCCCTGAACCAACGGGCCGCCCCACGGTGCAACCAACATAATCAAAGACATCTCTCTCACTGGTTATATTCTCTTCCACCTTCTTCCATCGGGCAGGAGATACAAAAGCTTGAATACATGCATGAACAGATTCAAAAGCAGCTTCTGTCCTGCTGTTATCAGACTTTCGAATGGACCTCTCAAATGTTAATTCTGATCTCTCTCTCTTTTTCTCTCTCCGTGCACTTTTGCTGCGGCTGTAATACTGCGTTCTGCTTGCCTGATGCAATTGTATGGTACAGTCTGCCTGTACAGTGCACAAAGCTGTATATATACAATTTTCATTATTTCGGTACATGACAGTAATAAATAAAACTCAGATTCATTTAATGGAGCTTAGAAGGATGAGGGGTATCTCATTGAAATATATAGAATACTGAGAGGCCTAGATAAAGTGCACGTGAAGATGTTCCCAGTAGTAGGGGAGACTAGAACCTGAAGGTACAATTTCACAGTGACGGGATGACCTTTTTATAATTGAGATGAGATTTCTTCAGCCAGATGCTGGTGAATCTGTGGCACTCACTGCTGCAGAAGGCTGTGAAGGCCAAGTCGTTAATCGTATGTAAGGCAGAGGTAGATAGGTTCTTGATTAGTTAGTAGTGTAGTGATTACGTGGAGAATGGAGTCAAAAAACATATCAGCCATGATCGAATTGTGGAGTAGACTTGGTGGGCTGAATGACCTAATTCTGCTTCTATATCTTACAGTCATGCGGTCCTTAAAGGTTCCAATATTCTACTGATGACTACTATCAGGTTATCTGCCATTTATTTCCCTAATTTCTGTCTCCATTTCTTGAATAATGGAATTACATTTATGAAGTTCCAAACTGTTGGCACCATTCTAAATCTCAGGAATTTTGGAAAATGATAACTGTTGCATTCTCTATTTCTGCAGTTACCTCTTTTAGAATCCTAGCATGTAGACCTTCTGATCCTGGGGATATGTTTGATCAGTCCACTATATTTCTACAATATAATTTTTTTTTTTACTGACGTTAATTTTCCTCACGTTAATTTTCATCTTTTTAACCTGTTGGTTATTCTCTATTTCTAGTTCATAATTTTCCTTTACTGCAAAGACAGACAAAATATTTGTTCGATACTTTTATTTTTTTCCTCATTTTCCATAACGTTCCTTATTTTTCTGCCTTTGAGGGACCAGTATTTCCTTTTAGCTGTTCTTCTTTTTGGTCCTTGTAAAGCCCTTGTAAAATTTCTTGCAGTTTCTTTTTATGTCCCTGACTATTTTACTCTCCTATTCTGGATGGATCTTTCCTGCTAATTTGTTTTTTTAATGGAACGTATTTTTGTTGAACGTTTTGAATTGTTTCTTTCAATGTTTTCCATTGCTTTATTTTGCGTCCTTTCTATTTAGTCAATCAATTTTTGCCAGTTTTCACCTTATATCTATGTAATTGACTTTAAGATTCTTGTTGGGGATTGGAATATATCACTTTCAAATTTAATCAAAAATTCATTTATATTATGGTCACATTTTTCAAGTTTCTCATTTACCAAATTACAAATTAAGTCTGCCACAATGCACAATACTATATCAAAACTAGCTTTTAACCCAGTCAGATCCTCGATGTATTGCTCCTGAAAACTCATGAAAGTATTCTACAAGTGT